GATAAGATGAGATGAGACGAGACGAGACGAGACGAGACGAGACGAGACGAGACGAGACGAGACGAGACGAGACGAGACGAGACGAGACGAGACGAGATAAGATAAGATAAGATAAGATAAGATGGGATGAGATGAGATACGATAAGATAAGATAAGATGGGATGAGATGAGATGAGATGAGATGAGATGAGATACGATATGATAAAACATTAGTGATCCCACAGTGGGGAAATTTGCACATTATTGCAGCTTAATACAGGAGTGGCTGAGAAGAATAATGAAAGATAAATAAAAGATAAACAAAAACAACCCCACAATATACACATGTGAGATATAGTAATGTACGTATACCAAAGCACATATACACATATACATAAACACATATGCATATTTATATACATATTTACACTGTAAAGTACAGTACAAAAATGAACGTATATGAAGGTACATATTAGTGATGGCGGTGTAGGTGAATTGTCCAACTAACTGATAACTTCATGATGTGTTATACAGTCTAACTTTTTGTAAAAAGGTGGACTCTGGTTCGGGCAGCTGGTAAAGATGCATCCTAGATACCCACATAAACTCTAGAAAGCACTTTGCGGAACCTGGAAAGGTTAAAATAGTGCCATATAAGTGGGCCATTTATTGTTCAAGGATAAAAAGTTTAATAAAAAACATGCCTTGGAAAAACAAAACACAGCAACGCAAAGATGTAAAGCGAAGCAGAGTGCAAAGGAATTACCTGAGTTGTGAACATTTTTTTTTCCTGTCCTGTGTGCTCGTAACAGAGATAGAAACAGAGGACAGGTGCTGCTCCCCCTCCTTATCTTCAGAGCCAGGTTGGTAGAGCAGCAAGTAATGAGGGATAGCATTGTCTGTATCAAAGAGCTGCAGGACCGAGGGTATCTCTGATCGGACCGAGCGGCAAGTTCCCAAACAAACAACGCGAACGCACACTGCTCGTATACACACGCGCGGGCTGATATCTCGTCCCGACTCCCGACAGATTATTGTGTTCTCTGATTCACCCCCAATATATGGTTCATTGTCATGAGCGCTCACGCCACTCCAAGGTCTGAAAAGGACAGAGATATGAAAGTGTTGAATGATGTGGATCGTTAATTTTTTTATTTTATTTAATCTCTGTCAGCAGAGGTCAAACAACTGTAATAAAAACCCGCGAGAAATCTAATAAAGCTTAAAATGTTATATTCTGCACTAGTCTTAAATGGTGTAAAGTGCAAATTTTAAAAGAATGAAAAAACGTAGGAAGCTAATCAATGTTTTAAAAGAAGTCAGCTTTTTTTTTTTTGCTTTTGTTTGTTTTGTTTTCAGCAGATGACATCAGTGATGGAACAAATATCCTGGCTGTATTCTGAGTGTTTATCTGTGAGAAGCAGCCCGGGGCGATTTCAGGCAGCATTTTTCTCTCTCTCTCTCTCTCTCTGCTGCCAGGATTAATCTGCAGCAGTGGAAGCTTTATGCGAGGAGAGGTTGCATGAGGCTCGCGTGTGGCAAATCACCTCAAATGTGAGGTAATTGCTTAAAAAAAATAAAAGGCGGTCACGTGAACGCACCTGTTCGTCCACTTTAATATCGTCAAGGACGAAAAGTAATGATGGCAGCCACGAGGCACAGCCGGTAGGCTGTGCCTCGTGGCTGCCATCATTACTTTTCCACRGTGTGATGAAGAGAGCTTTTTGATTTTGTTTTTTTACCTCTGTGTCCTTCCTCCTGTTTGATTTGGAGGAGAGGCTATAGCAAAACAGAATCACTTTGATAGGAGACGTTTTCCTTTCCGGAGTGTTTCTCCATCAAAACTTTGAAACACTTCTGCAGAAATACAAAGAAAAATAAAAAAAAAATCTCTTACTGTAAGTGTGTCTTTTCTTCAGAAACGTGACGCTGACACTTTGGATCGTCTCATGACTATGAATCATTTAAGTCGCTAAAACAACAGCTTCCTTTATCTCCGCCACACTGATTCATCTACAGCCAGCAAGTCGAATTAATCAAGCTGGAGAGGAAATGACTAGATGAAGAAATGTGGGTTAACTCTTCTTACAGCAGCTTTAGCTTTGGTGTCATCGTTTCTATAAGTTGGTTTATGACATTGCCTGATGTATGAGCCAAGACGCAGCTCCATCCATCCTAAAAACCACTAAGTTATTGTCATACGCAAAACAACTTTACTGCTCATTACTTACTAATAAAGGCTTCATTGTTTGTGGTTAATCTAAACTAATTCATAAATCTATCAGCGGCGACGCCAACGAAATTAAAAACATATTCAATCAGCAGTGTACCTCAGAGAGCTGTAAGGATGAGAGATTAGTGAGGGTTAGTGTCACATWGTTAGCCTAAGTCTTTAGAAAGCTACTGTTTTCTGTCGAATTGATAGAAATAATGTCACCTAATCAACTTTTCGTAATCTCGTAGCTTCAAAGCAAAATCATGTCACACATCAATCGAAATCTGATTAAACAAATCATGTTTCGAGTGACAGAGAGGCAGAGTCATCTGAGACGCTTTGGTTTAAAATTAAAAGCCTGGGTTTACGTGGCGGTCGTTAAAAACAGCGTTAATATTGAATACATTCTCTACCCTAGAGGAGGACGATGTTTTTCTTATAAATGAAAAATCAAACTCGGATCAAATGTAAGTTTTATTCATGGTTTAGATAAAAAAAAAATAAAGTTTGGAGATGCTG